AGGTTTAAGGTCAACACCAATCAGTCAAGGTCGAGGTTAGCAGAACAAGCTACAGGTCAAACGTGGAGAAATTCGAATACTTCACTTCTTTCATCTGAAGTTTGTGCTGATGATGTTGTGTTCAGAAGAAGAACAACGAAAGCTCCACAACCTAAACAACATCCAGCTCAGAGTACCAAACACCACCACCATGATTTATACAATGTTGGGCGATTATCTAGTAATGGTTATCAGGGCAAGTAGTATACGAAGTCTAAGAATATTTTAAATACCAACAGACACAGAACTGATGCAACCACATACACCACACTTATACACAATACAATCTAGTCTTTTTCAAATATAATATAAATCATAAAAGCAAATATTGTTAACTGATTCAATTAAAGTCAAGAACACACTTACTTCTTTTATTCTTGATAATTCAAAATTTCTATCAATCAATTGACGTTCTACTTCACTTTTTCTACTTGATGTTTCATTTAATTGATTGCGTAATCGTGAAATTTCCAGTCTGTCAGCTTCAATTCGTTCTAATTTAATAGAAGACATAGAAGCAACAGTAGGATCTGTTCCAATATTGGTTAAACCATCCCCAGTAGTTAGATTTGTAGTAGTTGTAGTACCAGTTATTGTTGTTGTGGTTGTATCTCCACTGATATTTGTTGATGATTTTCCAGCCTTCACTGCATCAACTAATCGACGTAAACTTTCCTCGGTTGCATTTAAACTTGATTTTAAATTAGCTATACGTTTATCACCATCTTCAATGGATTTTTTAAGTTGACAATTTTCCAGCGTTAAATCATCAATTTGACGTTTAGCTAAATCTAATTCATTTAAATTGTCAGGATCATTTGCATTGCCACTGAAACGGCTACGATTACGTTTATCACGTTCTTGACGTAAATCTGATTCCATATTGTGTAATGTTTCTAACATTGTCTATTGAATAAAAATAAAATGAATATCGAGAAAGAATTATAAGCATTTGGTTATGATGTAAACATAGATATAACCTCAGCTACATACATACAAATTTTGTTGATTTTATTTATTACGGGGGTTGTGAAGATTGTTACGTTACACATTTTGAAACTATGAATTAATCAATGTTAGACCACCATTAGAAACTTGGAAGCACTGGACGGCCGTTTCGTCCTGGTATGGGACTAATCAGTGGCAGTACGCATCAACGACTCCTGCACCCCGTAGGATTCGAACCCAGGACCTTCGGTATCGTGCGCGAACGCCTAACTGTGAACTGATAAAGTTAGACATTAAGGTCATTAGGTAAGAGCCCAGTGCTAAAGAGGTTAAGCGTTCGCGTACAGTACCGAAGGTCCTGGGTTAGAATCCTGCGGGTTGCAGGAGACATGGATACGCATTGCTGATGAGTCCCATACCAGGACGAAACGGCCGTCTAGTGTTTCCAGATTTCATCATTCCGATTCAGATTGTATAATGTCATGAAGTCTAAATATCCTTTGAAGCAGTCAGTCAGTCAGTTTCCATGTAGAACTTCGTACATACGTACATCATTTCAAGTCGCCAAGTCACATTAGCATAAAAAAGATGGAGTCTTTAGTTCAAATTCAATAGTAGTAGAGGTTGTAGCAGTATTAGCAGTAATGTAGAAGATTAGCGTTCGATGACATGATTTGAGAAGTATATCCCCGTGAAATAATATTTTTTTAAAAAAAGAGAAGAAAGGTGATGGTGAATTCAGAAGATAGAAGAAAAAGAATGGAGACATTTGCGCCATTGCAAACGATTTTGATCCATGTCATTCGAAGTATTTAACCCTCTGTTACTATTCTATTGCCTTACGGACTGCAATTAGGTAGTCTGCATCTAATAATACAGTTCATCCCAGTTTTCATTGACTTCATTGATTCGTGCCACATTTTGGTTCGGCTGACCCTACTACACCAGATATCATAGCTTGCCAAAGCAGTCGGTGTGACATATATCCCAACCACCTCAACTGATGAAGATCCGCTACTTCGTCAACTGATATGCTATTCTTACATAGTACAGCATTGTTTACCTGATTGTCCCACGATAAACGAACAATGCTTCTAAGACACTTATTACCAAATACTAGGAACCTACAAACACCCTCCATCCTTACTGGCTATGTTCCATACTTCGACTGGTCTTATACAGAATAAAAATGTTGTGTATTGATAAGAAGTGTCGGAAGAACAGCGAAACAAGTGGGTAGAGAACTTTAAAGAACTCTTGAATCGACCAGCTCCACTGAATACACCCAACATCGAAGCAGCATCCACGGACCTCACAATCGATGCTGGCCCACCAACGATTGAAGAGATTAGCGTGGTCATCAGACAAATCAAGAGCGGCAAAGCAGCAGGACCAGACAACATTCTAGCAGAGGCGACGAAATCAATCGTGGCAGCAACTACAAAAATATTTCAGATTCTTTTAAACAAGAACAATTACCATCAGACTCGAAATACCAGAGAAAGGAGATCTCAGCAAGTGTCAGAACTACAGAGGCATCACTCTTCTATCATTACCAGGAAAAGTCTTCAACAGGGTATTGTTAAACAGAATGAAGGACTTCGTAGACTCCCAACTTCTAGATCAAAAGGCTGGATTAAGTAAGGATCGATCATGTACTGACCGAAATGCGACATTACGGATCATTGTGGTACAATCAGTTGAATGGAATTCACCACTCTACATCAACTTCATTGACTACGAGAAAGCATTTGATTGCGTGGACAGGACAAAACTATTGAGGCTTTTTCGACCCTATGGCGTGCCTGACAAGATGGTCAACAATATGCGAAATAATTCTGCAAAATCGTGCACGGAGGACAGCTGACTGACTCGTTTGAGGTGAAGACCGGTGTCAAACAAGGTTGCTTACTCTTACCCTTCCTCTTTCTCCTGGTGATTGACTGCGTTATGAAGACGTCAGTATTTGAGGTGAAGCATGGTATACAGTTAACAACTACGACAGAGCTGGACGATCTAGACTTGTCTGATGATATGGCTCTTCTATCAAACACGAAACAATAAATGCAAGAGAAGACGACCCGTGTAGCAGCAGCCTCAACAGCAGCAGGTCTCAACATACACAAAGGAATGAGTAAGATTCTCTGATAACACACAGCATGCACCAACCAATTCACTCTTGATGTAAATGCCTTGGAGGATGTAAAAACCTTTACAAATCTGGGCAGCATCATCGCCAATCAAGGTGGATCCAACGCAGTTGTGGGGGGGCGAATCGGCAAAGCAAAGGCTGCATTTTTACAACTGACCAACATCTGGAACTCGTAACAATTAACAACAAATACCAAAGTCAGAATTTTCACTACAAATCTTGAAATCGTTCTGCTATATGGAGCTGAAAGTTGGAGAACTATGAAAGCCATCATCCGAAATATACAGGTGTTCATTACCAGTTGTCTACACAAGATACTGAAGATCTATTGGTCAAACATCATCAGCATTAACCTATTAGGAGAGAGAGAACAAACCTGATTCCAATGGAGGAAGAAATCAGGATGAAGCACTTGAGGTGGATAGGGCACATACCATGGAAATCTCTCAACTGCATCACCAGACAATCTCTAACCTGTAACTGTTAAGGCCAAGTGGAAAAAAAGATAGACCAAGGAACACACTGAGCCGAGAATTGTAGACAGACATGAAAAAAGATGAACAGTAATCGAGTAGAACTGGAAAAGAACGCTCAGGACAGAATAGATTGTAGTACGCTGGTCGGTTGTACTGTTCCTTATCAAGAGTATTGATGAATATTATTCTTCTTAGAATGTTTACAGAGATTACTAGATTACATCATCATAATTTACACCATGAATTGACTTTAGTTAGCAAACCATTGAAAACCAGATTACACTAAAGAGGTATTTCATTCTAGTATCATGTTCCTCAGCAATACTTATCCATGACTGTGTCAAGGATCAAACATTAGACATCTTTCAATTTCTTTGGATGAAAACTTTATCTTCACATCAATAACTTGGCTACAAGTAGTTTTATATTTCTAACTCCAGTAAATTCGTGATATTGCTTTACCGTTTATCTAATCTCACATGTGATGTGTGTTCTGCTCTCAATATAACTGAACTCCTCTTATAATGCGTTCTCATTTTGAATGCTAAAAATTGTCTGACAAAAGTTAACATAACCAAATTAGCCTCTAGTTTGTTCACGTGATCAAGACCTATAAAGATAGATTTTCATGTTTGCCTTTATGAGTAAATATAACTCAAAGATAATTTTGTATGTTGATAAAAATTTATCCACAAATCGATCGATTTTCCCATATTCTTCCTTTCTTTAGCTAAAATGTCTGGTTAGACCTTGATATTTCAATGAGTGAATGGTTGATATTGATCTGTCAAATAAAATACAATGATTGTCAATTAGGTCTGTAATCAACAGTCATGAAAATCAAGCAGATTCTAACTAGATAACCTGCACTAACTAATGTAAGTCAGACAGTTAATGAATTCACAAGCTGACCCTACGTGGTAGTCTGATAAATAAGAGCCACCCAGTGGTATTTCTTCTTAATAATTAGTGTGGAGCAGTAATTTTGGAGTTCCCGTAAGCATTCATGATCAGTGGGGCTTAACCACATCAAGTGTACGGCTGTGATCCACCAATTTATTATGATCACTCGATATTGAGAATTTATTGAAGTAAGAAACACAAAGCACCAGATACTGATTGACTCAAGTGGTCTAGAGGTTTAGGCACTCGGTATGAGTTCGGGGACCATAGATTACATACCTTGAGGTGAAGCTACATCCCAGTTGAGCACAGGCGGTCCACCAGCATTCTCCAACTTACTCTCTCCTGGGCCTCCCTTTCTAGTTCTTTCAGATCGCCGTTCATTCTTCTCATATCTGTCTCCAACTCTCAGAAGTAATGTGTTCCTAGGCCTTCATCTTTTCCCTTGTCCTTGAGGATTCCAAATGAGGGCTTACTTTGTGACGCAAACGAGTGTCTAATCCACTTCCAGCGCTTCTTCCTGATTTCTTCTTCATCTGGAATCTGTATTTTTCTCTCCCACAGTAGGTTGTTACTGATAGTGTCTGACCAACGGATCCGAGCTATTTCGCGCAGACAATTGTTAATAAATACTTATATCTTCTGAATGGTGGCTTTGGTAGTTCTCCAAGTTTCCGTACCATACAATAGAACTGTCTTAACATTTATACTGTGGTGAGGTTACAGGTAATTATTTGTGAGGAGTACGAGATATGTTTTGTGGTTTAGGAGTAAGTTGAAAGAAAGTTAGGGGCGGCCACATCAAAACATGGCAGAAATCCATGAAGTCACTAACAGGTGGACTGAGTCATGTTGGTAGATGTAGGCTATCTGGTTGGGGTCCGCTGGACGAAAGTCTCCAATGGTTGGAGATCTTGAAGGACATGGCTCAGAATCGTTTGCAATGGCGCAGGTGCATCCACTCTTTGGGTTCTGTCAAATGCTAACCTTCTGATTTCTCATAATCTCCATCTCCTTCCAAATTTATCTCACTGAATTATAATTTTCGAATCATATCATCGCTCCCTAATCTTCTCCATTACCGCTATTAATTCTACTATCGTTATCACTCTTGGATTTAAACTGACAGTTACGTCTCTGTGCTGATGTTGTATGGCAACCTGAACTTATGTACTTATGTACGAAGTTCTGCGTTGTATCTGTCTGTCTGTCTATTGGTGAGGAGACATATAATGCGGTGCTTCTTAAATTCCACTGTTTGTTAAACTAAGACAACTCAATATTATTAATCATAACAATAGAAACATTTCTGTCTTTCATTCTTACGTTACCAAAAAAAACAATTTTTTTTGTACAAACTTACTTGTTTTTCTAATTGTAATTGATGTAAATGATCCGCCAATATAGCATATTTAGCATTTTCTTCTTTACGCATTGCTCGTTCACGTTTTAATTCAGGACTCCAAAATGTACGTATACTAATTGTACATGCATTAAGTTTTTCTCTAGTCACATGTAATTCATGCTGTAACCTAACATATTCTCTTTGTAATGTTACAATATCAGCTGTAGTAGTTGGATTATGTGTCAATAAAGATGTAGGTTGTGTTTGTGACAGGCCAGGATAAATACCAGATGATCGTTGTAATGTTGCATAATCCAAGGCGGCACTACCACCGCCAAGAGTTGGATAAGTTGGTAGACCTAAATTACTACTACCGCTGTAATCTAATAGAGGATTCGCTGAATAACCATAGATGGCTGGATTTGCACCGAGGCCGGCGCCACCACCACCGGCGGCCGCCGCGGCAGCTGCTGCAGCTAATAAACTATTATAATCTGTTAAACCTTGTTTTTCTAAATTCATATCATATGAATGTGCTCTACGACCTGTTGTTGGATTCGTCGACGACAATATACCAGAACCACCACCACCACCAGATAAGCCTGGATTAGATTGTAATGTATACGATTGTCGATGTATTGGTTTTCTTGTTAATCGTTCACTTTGTGAATCAAAATTTCCTCTTAATGTACCATAATATTCACCACGACGATCTAATGATGTGGTACGATGATCAATGGTACTTGGATCCGCTTCAATCAATGGATCAATGTAGGGATTGTTTAGTCGTGGTGATGTTGAATGTGGTTGTATGCCGGAATCATACATTTCACCATATTCTAAATCTTGTACACTGACTGGTCGCTGACGATCATTGATTATGTCAGGATTTGAGTCAATACCTTCAATGTATTGATGTGATGAAAGATTATGATTATCACGATAGTAAGGTGATCGATGCCGTCCACTTTCCATGTAAATTTTAACAATTCACAGTGTGTGAGTGTGTATGTGATTGTTTAGAAACTCTGAAAATAGAAAATAAAATCATATTGATCGTTGAAATCAAATTTGTTTTAAAAAAACTCATATTTTACTTGATTTTTTTTTAAAAAAAAGTTTATTTCGTTAAATTTTTAATTTAATTATGAAAATAATTAAAATAATATTTTTCCATAATAATATTTTTCTTAAATTGAAATATTTTCGGTTGAACTATTGAAAAAATTGCATATATATCATTTCATAATTTTGAATTATAGATATTTTGATCAATAAAGGAAAAGATGAAGGTCAAGAAACGTATTACGCTGAGAAATGGAGACAAATATCAGAAGAATGAACTAAAAAATTGGATAGAACTGGAAAGAAAAGCTTAGGGTAGAGTAGATTGGAGAATGTTTGTCAGTGATCTATACTCCATTGGGGCTAATAGGCGAAAGTAAATAAGCAAGTTAATAAAAAAGTTTAATTGAGAACTAGTTAGCTATAATATTCAGTATGTTTCAATTAGCAATTGTTACAAATATTTTCTAACAAGGATTAAAGGTAATTTAATGCAGAACTAAACTTACATTACACTATGCAGTGTGTATAACTCAAAGATAATATTACGTTACTTATATAATTATGCCTGTTACCCCCTAATGGAGCATATGCCGCTGACTAGTATTCTCCAACTTACATTGTCCTAAGCCTACCTTTCCAGTTTCTTCGACTCTTCTTATATCTGTCTCCAACTCTCGGCGAAATGTGTTCCTTTGCCTTCCACTTTTCCCTCCGACCTTGAGGGTTCCATGTGAGGGCTTGTCTTGTGACGCGACTGAGCACTTTCCTTAACACGTATCCTATCCATTTCCAGCTCTTTTTTTCTGACTTCCTCCTCCACTGGAATCTGGTTTGTTCACTATCACAGTAAGTTGTTGCTGATAGTGTCTGGCCAATGGATACGAAGCATTTTGCGTAGAAAACTGTTAATGAAAACTTGTATCTTCTGGATGACTGCTTTGGAATTTCTCCAAGTTTCCGCCCCATAGGATAGAACTGTCTTGACATTTGTGCTGAAAATTCTGACTTTGGTTTTTGTCAGTAGTTGTTTCCAGTTCCAGACGTTGTTCAGTTGTAAAAATGCAGCCTTTGCTTTTTAAATCCGCGCCTTCACATCTGCATTATATCTAACTGGCTCGATAATGATGCTGCTCAGATTTGTAAAGGTTTTTACGTCCTCCAAGGAATCTCCACCAAGCGTGATTTTGTTGTCGCATGTTGCGTTTTATCAGAAAACCTTGATTTTTCCTTTGTGTATGTTGAGACTTGCTGTTGAAGCTGCCGCTACCCTGGCCGTCTTGCCTTGCATTTATTGTTGTGTGTGCAATAGAAAAGCCATATCATCTGCGAAGTCTAGATCGTCCAACAACATCCTGGCCCTTCACTGGATACAGTGCTTCCCTACAGATGTTGACGTCTTTATAATCCAGTCGATCATCAGGAGAAAGAGAAAGGGTAAGAGTAAGCAACCTTGTCTGATACCGGCCTTCACTTGGAACGAGCCTGTGAGCTGGCATTTTCTAAGTATATTTATCTAACAAGGGCCATGTTTACATCGGATATCATAAAATCGGCTTCCTTCATAGGTTTGACGTATATATAAGATGTTAATGAATGCTGTTTTTCATTCTAGGAACTATATAAACTCTTTACAGTACTCATATGGACGTATAAAGCCCCGGTTGAAGCCATGCTGCATACTACAGATCCGACATTATCAGCTGGCATATAAATTTTCTACTAAATCCTGTATTAAACACCAAAAGCTTAGTTTATTCATTTACAATGTATTCGTAATCTAACCTATGCGAACTTAATCATCTTAAAAACAGAAAAATTAATAAATCGAAAGCTACATTCATTAATATATGAAATACTTCACATTTCTAGTCTGAAATTCTGATACAAAACTGATTTGGCATTCCTTTGAACAACCTCACTGAGTATGCAATATGAGTTTGGCGGTGTGAGCTTAAAACCAATTAAATGAAAACACTTAATCGATATAATGTGACAATAAATGCTACTCAATTGCTTTTCATTGTAAAACTGTCAAGTTTACAGAAGACCCTTTGTAGCCATGTTAGCTCATTAATTGAAACTTTAAGTATTACAATATCTTATTGAAAGCATCAGTCGCCGTATTATTGTAGTACTATCATACTGTTGGGTGCGAATTAGCAGGAGTAATTATTATCTATCTCTATTTAACTAATATGTAACGAAGTAACCAGTCATTGGTAGTAAAGTAATTATAATTATTAGTAGTATTCCCGTAAACAGAAATTTGTATTTCTGATGTTAAGTGACCTAATGTACTTAACATCTTCAGAGTAAACAGATAAATAACTGAATAAAATTAACAAAAACTTAAATAGTAAATAGAAAAAAAGAATAACTTCAATGCAATCAAAATCGCAGCAGATCTCACACATGTCAATATCATGTCAATTTTGAATAAGGTGAAAAGTCATGTCCAAAGTTTAAAAACTCAGGATCAGCTTGGATCTTTTGTTTTTCTCTACGTTTTAATCCGGACAAGTATATGATATAACTTCTGGTGTTTCACGTTTTCTTTTTCCTAAGACAGCGGGAGTAACACATTTGAGATTATTTACTTTCAGAAATAATAAATTTATTATTTCGAATCAATAATTTTCAACCACTTATCAGTGTTTGGATTTGTCTTGGGACTTAAGTGAATATTATGGACATACTGAGCAGAAAGCTTGTATTAATCTTATTTTTCTGAATTTTGAATTCTCTTGCGTACTGAGGAAACCGATAATGCTAAGACAACCCGTGCGTTCATCACGCTTTCTCGTTGAATAAATACTTTTGAGGTAGGCATAGATGAAGTTTATTCTCTCAAGTCATCTTTCATGTTCATAAGCATATATGACTACTTCATAAATCATAAGAACATCCACTAACGAAAGATATCATCTAAAATACTTCCATCATTTAACCAGTCTATATTTTATTATGAATCCTGAAACTCTAAGGAATCTTCAAAGAATAATAAGTCAGTTCATAACAAAAAGGCAGTTCACACAATAACCAAATATCTGTCGTTGTATTATCAATTTAAAAAAATCTTTGCATCTTAATTTCTCCTTTTTTATGTAAGGAAATGGAAGACTACATAATTGCGAATGCCAAGGATTTTTTGTAAACCTAGAGATTTGTACCTTACTAGTTATTTGCAGTGGCAAGAGACGTTTAGACTTCTGATAAAAAGAAGCTATGATACCTGAATCCATTTCGTCTACTGTACCACAAGGTAAAAGGTGGATTTTTATACATGTTTTATTTGCGTTTTGATTAAATTCCATAAATCTTCGGAGTTTACTTAAGTATAGTAGTGTATTTGTCCATGAAGGATCGGAATACTCCTTTTACAGCTTCTATTTAAACTGCGTTCACGGTATCAATAAATTTGTCAAATCTTGTCATGGCATACGAAAATGGGAAATAAAGGAAACCATTTGAGAATTCCTTATAGAAACAAAGAGGACATAACGTGAAAGCACAAAGACAGGTTTATATTTTTCCGAATTTGTAAAAATGGTGCAAAAGTCCTTATTTTGTCATTGTGCATCAGCAGTGTTGCTAGATGGTCTTTTATAATTTAAATGTTCAACGAAGTTTATAACTTTTGCAGTCAGTTACAAAGATTACACACACAAACCAATGCTATAATCTCAAAATGCTTCCTTTATTTTCATCAAAAAACGAATGCTTACGCACACGAATTATTGGAGTGAAATACAATATATGCCTAAAGACATTTATCAAAACATGTATTTTTGATTTTTCACAGTTATAATACGATACAAGTCAGTTTGTTTTTTTCGAAGCATTAATTATGTAATTATGAAGTCATTATCCAAAACTTTTTAACATATATGGTAATAATACAAAGAAATTACACCAGTTATAAGGCCCAAGCACAGGGATCATAGTACCTATCGATAAAGAATTCAGGTGTACTTTATGTGCAGATAAACGACCGAGAATATAAAAACTTATCAATCTTGGATGACCAAAACATATTTCAGCTTCTGAAGAAATGAACCGAAGTTTTAATCATGGTTAACAAGTGATAAAATTATATTATGAAAGATAGATCTTAAACAGTGCAATGCTTGGAGCTCATTTTAAATAGTATAATAAAACAATATGGTCAAAATTTGATGTTTCCAGGAGTAATCACAATACTAATGAATATATGGTTTCTTTTTCAAAGTTTTGTAATTAAATTACTTCTCATCGGATTATTTTTTTATTCCAAATCTAGTCAACGCTCTTAATTTGCTGTCGTTTGTTTTGTTATGAATTCGCAAAAGAGGAAGAACTTCTTCTCATTCACTTTTTTGTGTTTCGTACTTCCATATGATATTAAGATGGGACTATTTCAAGGCTTATATTATTGTTCATTGTTTTGAACCATGTATCTTCCTGAGATTGAACTAGATTTTGATTGTCCCTTTATGTATCGTGTATTCGTAGTTACATAAAATCAATATTGAAACCTGGAAACAATCGCAAACGCTTGATCGAGTTTTGTCAAGCAAACATTTTAACAGGGCAGCTGGCAAATTGAGACACCATCTTTCTAGATCTCGTATGGATAAGAAGTACTGGCAGGATAACATAAACCGACTCCTCATTTTCAAACAGACATCTTCTAAACTTTGTATTTTTACAGTATGATTGAAACTTAACTAAATACCCGGTCCATGGAGCTAAAGTGATTGAGTAACGGTCTTAAAGTAAGACTAAAACGGATTCAGCATATACTGAATAAACACAACTATCCACCTGATTTTCTTATGAAAAGTTTGTCTAGAAGTAAACTTACAGATGTTACCAAACTAGCCTCAAATCGTTTGTTGATAAATTTAAAAATCTGTTGCACAAAGATGGGTATGTTCTGCTCGCTCCGATCGGCTAATTGTGAGTTCTCTAAATGGAGTTATAGTGCCTCCACATATATTCCAGTTCGCTTACATTTAACTTGGTTAAGCCCTTTCGATTAATTTATTTAACCAAGCCATTTGTGTAGCAACAACCCATATGTACCATTCGTTCTTATTATTGTCTGGTTTGCATGAGCTTGTACGAATGAACATTGCTTACGCCTACGCACTTACTCATCCTTTCGCTTTAACGTTAATCTCTTAATTTCCCCACGAACTCACATGATTTGTATCGCTTGCTTTTGACCTTGTCAATCACTCGTCGCTCTTATTCATGTCTGTGCATGCCTACTTCGCTTGTCATATGTCTGTCTTATTTTTATCTGACTATATATTCTTAGTCATACTCTTTCTCTTCGAGTTGGCTTTTAGCCTTCTCCAATACGTTTCGCTTTGCGGTGTGTCCCGAATAAACGTATTCATCAATACGTGTTCATGTTCTGCTTTATAAAGCGAGCTTAAGAACACGCAGTAAACAGCCACACCACAGAGTCAAATATCCTAGTTCATTTAGATATATTTGGCTTTGCGATTCCAGCTGCTCTTTCGGAGCTGGTTATACTGGAGCACAACAAGGCAAGTAAAGTATCATATATCTCGGCATCACTCTTCATAGTTTACCGAAGAGTAAATAAACGTAACTGACCTTTTTGTCAATAAAAATTCAGTTTCCATGAAGCTGTACGCAGAATAGGTGAACCCTTTTGACCCACTACGAAACTTCAATTTCAATCCAGCGTAAGCTGTATAGTGATTTCAGAAAATGATTTTCATTGCACATATTTCACTGACTGTTTATTTATAAACTCATGGTTAACAGAGATATTACTTTCGTTTACGCTTTCGGTTCCTATAATTTGTGATTTATTGTAGATATATTCTTCACTAGTTCTCAAAACGAGCATAAATGACAGTCACAATAGTTCCGGACAGTACAGAAAATGATCAAATTTCGACGTGAAATCTTATCAGTGATGTAGCCGTACTATAGCTAGTCCATAACATTGAGCTACACCTGTTATTCCAGTGTAACAAATCAACGAACTAATGCCGACTTAGTCCTAAATTTCATGAATAATAGTGGAACTGGTTAGGGAAGGGTTTATTTTGTGAGGTAGAGTAGATTCAGTCACCTTGATATCAGCTTCAGTGTATAGACCGCCGCTAGCTTCTGAGCAGAAAAAATCATAAAGACATTCATCCAACTTTAGTAGACACCAACATTTGATGTAGACGTGGTTACTAGGACGATGAAGGAACATATATTATTTAGAATAATTCTTGTGGATGTTACGGATATTTAGAGTGTGGACGCTCAGTAACACACTTCAGATCAAAGATCTGCAAAGTCATGACAAATCAAAGTTGTCAGTAAGAAGGGCCTAAGTTACATTTGAATGATGGTTTGTAAGTCAAGGAGTGAGTGAAGTGAACATGCCAGATAATGAGGCGTGATGCACCGCACAGCATTCTCTACGATGAAACTGTGCAGATTAACGCTTGAGCTCATGTAGCTATGTTTTGTCCACTAAAACGAAAGGTTAGTAGCACTGTTGAAAACTTTTAGAACTGTTTATTTTTGGGATTTTTATACCCCTATAGTCAATCCTTTAACTAAGATATAAATATCGATCTATTGATGTAGCGTTACTGTAAGTGTGATTAGTTGCAAGTAAAAATGATTTGACAGGTCTGTGCGAAGCTGGTTCTTAAATTCGGAGTCTGTGAAATGCAGAAAAATCTGTTAAGTATCAAAAAGCATCCGGCAGTTTGTTTTTCAGTTCTTTTCCAGTTTCAGATAGTCTGATCGAGACATATACATGACCATGTGCTACTTGACTTGTAACCGATGTTTTAGACTAAACGTTTAGAAAAAGTTTGAACCATTTTACAATACCGGGTGAGATAAGGTAACTAAACAAGTGTTTATATTGTGGTTCACATTTGATTTGACCAGCTTTATTTTTTAGAATGTTCAGTAAACATTACTGAAGCTTGCTTATAATTGCCTCGGTTTATTCATAGTAATTTCGAATCGAGTTTCTTATGGAAAATGATGATAGCAGGAATTCCACTAGATCCGATAGCTATTTTTGTATAACTGCGCCTTCCATATTGCTTATATTTTATTTCTAAGCCCACACTTCATCCCATTACCTTCAAATATCCTGGTCCGTTTGAAAACTAGGAGAGTCTGCTCTCCTTCTATAAATACTTCTATATGGCCTCTTGTGTATAGTCCCACTCCAAAAATTGAAGAGACAATAAGCAGATGTCCAGCTCCTTACGCGCGCTGGTAAGTACGGATTATCTGTCTCGGAGATTTCACAACTTTTATTTTCAAACCAGTAGTGCCTATGGGCTCCAAGTTCCAGAGGTAAAAGTAGTTCGTAAACCTATACTTTGTCAGGGGCTATCAGTGGACCGCATCTACTTAAGTTTCTCTACGGCCCTTTGGGTTAGTCTTTCGGGCTGGGATTGAGGATTCTTATGAGAACCACTTGTTTTGGTTTGAGTAACCATGTGTTATGCCAACCCATGTACGAATTTAGTAATTTGTCTGAAGCACTAATTTTTAGATGCCACATTGTACTAATTTTTATGTGTCCAAATTGATATCTAAAGCATGGATTCTGTTCTTCTATTCTACGGCTTGCGCCTTAAGTGAAATGCATTCGCAATCCAACCCATAATCCACGGGTAATTTCTTGTTCAGCTTTTTTTATTTCTCGTCCGGTATATGATGCTTTCCTCCTCACAAGTTTGTACAGACGTTGCACTGGTATTTTCTATATATTTGATTAAAATTTCTGAAAGCGTCTGCAACTACATGCAACGTTTGGGGTGGATATACTGAATGCGTCTACTACAACCGTACTTTTGAAACCTTGGTAAAAATCTTAACTACCTCAGAATGTATATTTTCCTCTGCATCGCTGCCACAGGTGAATTTTCGGGAATAAGTAAGGGATTTGGAAAAGCTCTTTATATTTTGCATGGTGCAATTACAAATTCTTACGTGTTTGATTTTGTAGTGCCGTCAATGATTTTAAACCTGAAGGTCAAGCGAGCAACTGGTTGTGTGTGTATGAGATGGACACCATCAGCGATGAGGAGCTACGGTCAGCCTTGTCCAGATATCTAGATGTCGTTCCTCCAGTGACGGGTAAATATTTCTATTACATAGATAAAAAAAATTAGAATCAACTCGCGCAACTCTGATTGCTAAGCTGAAAAAGTGCATGTCAAATGGTTCTGAAAGTCCAAAGAAAAATACTCCACAAAACATCATAGACACTCCTATCAATGTAGCTGAAAATAGGTAACTGAGTGCGAAGATTTTATTTGTTTTTACAGACCAACACAGACTGCTGTTTGCGAAAGTAGTCGGGGATCACCGAAATTCCAGCCCGCATCACAAAACAGGTAAGCTATATTCAGTGTTTTTTCGATGCAAATATTCTTATCAAAGTGCTCAATAATAGTTAAAGCACGACTTTATGTCTGATCTCGTGGTCAGGCTGTTTCGTTACACTTTAAAATTTCCCGTGCAACTAAATTTCAAAAATTTGTTTGTATGTAAGTGATTCTTATCGGCTTTAGTAATATCCTGTAATGCGGCTTTTGTGTACCAAGAACTTGTCTTACAGGTCTCAGTTATTGTTTGAAGTTCGTTATTTGATGACTAAATGACAGGTAAATAATAGGTAGGTGCAAGCAAATCTCATGACATTCGAGTCTCGCTACAAAATCTGATAACTAATGCATTATTATTATAACAGCTCAGTTTACCATAGGGTAAGGCCATTTATTAACTTTTCAACTGTGTTACTTCGTGAAATGGCTACCCTTGTGTTGTAGTTAACTCGTTTTAGTGACAGTAGACTGCCTTATATGTAGTGCCATATATAGAAAGTAGTCGCAGAAATGTTTAAATACTAGTCGATCGGTTGTTATATTTCTGCAATTAGATACATGCTTCGACATGCTTATCATGTTATTTTGAGACATATGATACTCCTAAACTTCAAACAAATTATATATGATGTTTTACTAATATAAAGATGACTAATTAAACTGATGGTCTTAATCATTCTTAACATCCCAGTAACAAACCGCCTACGTAAAAGCATTATTCTTCATAATCCGTGTGGCTTAGTGTATTTTGCGTTACATTTCCGAAACGTTTCTTGGTTGCCGAAATTGCGTGATAATACACTAAATTGTATCAGCTAGTGCTTTTCATTTTTCTGCTGGCTTAGCACTACCTTCTAAACGCAAAAGAATGTGATGCTGCATCTGCAAATGAGAAAACTAACCGTAACTTTTGCTAAGATGGCCTTTTTAGCGCTATTTAACAACACCCCACTGGTGTTGATCCAGTCGTTGTTTCCAGTTTCATGTGTCGCTCATTATCCAAACTCAAATAATGACGTAGCCTGTGAGTTTAGGTTACTAAGCCCAAACAATCAGGTCTAAATGTGTTTCGGACAACAAAGTAGTTTCTATAGTCCTATAATTCGTAGTTTATAGCTTAATACACGAATTTTTAGATAATTGCTAGGTTACATCAACAATTTAAAAGTTACAAAAATAGCGTTCACCCATTATTGCTGGTCTTTAAGTCCATAAAACTGTTTGATCGGAAATATACAGTGAATAATGTTCATGAAATCTTGATTAGGATTGCAAATCAATTGAAGTAGTCAATCTTCATCGGTTGTGGTGGTTGGGACGTGTCACGCATGCCCAACCACTGACTGCAATGTTTTGTCATGTACGAGTGGGTTGTAAGAAAGCTAGGGGTCGTTACCACTAATGCTGCTACAATTTCTACTACTATGGGATTTAAACTTATGACTCCATTTCTTTGTGCTAATGTTGTATGGCAATTTGAAGTGCTATACGTATGTTCAAAGTGATACCAAATCGCAGTTCGAACCCGTCTGTAGTTCGTGTACTGTTCTCGATTAAAGTCAACTGACAAAGAAAAATTATTTGTAAAACATTCTCTTCTTACACGCATACAGTTTTTGCCATATAGTTCGAGTAATTGTATCCTCTGTATTATGTTTTTCTCTCTGTCAAATATCTACATTAGACCTTTGTCAACTAAAGAACTATCTACAAGTTTTATGAATGGTCTACCAGTACAAAACCAGTCATCTCCTATACTAGAATGTGTTTCTCGACTACCAAGTTATCGTCGTCGATCCATACATCCTGACCGACCAGGAATAGACAATCCATACGCTGATGATTTGACTTGGTTTCCACAATTATCGCCTAACAAAAAAAGTTGTGTTCAATCGCCGAATAAAAAACTAAAAACTTGTCAAAACAACACAAAAGGAATTCTCAGGGATAATCTAGTAAAATCTTTTTTATATATCACTATTGGATTGATATCTATCATTTTTGATTGTTGCTTTTCCTTCTTCTTTAAATTAGCAAGTAAGTTGGTTGTTTTTGTTGTATTTAGTTTTTTCTACATATATATTGTGATCAACTAGTATAGTTAGTATTAACCTTATGGCGTAGGCGAGATATCCGTTTGCTGACTAAAGGACGAGTGTCCTGCGCAGTAGTTCGCTCCGTCTTACTTTGAAACATAGCCAGTGAGAGTAGAAGATATTCGTAGGTTACTGGTTTTCGATCATAGGTGTCTTCGAAGCATTGCTCGTATATCGTGGGACACCCGAGTCAGCAACGCTGTTACTAGGAATCGGTTGCTAGGTAAGAATCGCAGGTCAATAGATGAAGTAATGAAACTTCATCAGTTGAGGTGGTTGGGACATGTGTTGCGTATGCCCAACTACCGACTGCCTCGTCGAGCTTTGTTTTGTAGTGTAGGAATAGGTTGGAAGAAAGTTAGGGGCGGTCAAACCAAAACATGGCAGAAATGCATGAAGTCATTGATGAGTGGACTGAGCCATGTCGGTAGTTGTCGACTACCTGGTTGGGGTCCGCGAGATGATAATAATCGATGGTTAGAGACCTTGAATGACATGGCTCAAAACCGTTTGCAATGGCGCCGGTGCATTTCTTCTTTGTGTTCTCTCGAATCCTAATATTATGGATTCTTCAATACCTCTAATTTTGACTTTCGAAACTTTTCTCATTGAATCATACTTCTTGAATAATATTTTCTAATCCTAACCTCTCCGATTACTTCTAATACCTTTACTAACTCTTCTACTATTGGATTTGAATTGACAATTACATCTCTGTGCTGATGTGGTATGGCGACATGAACTGATGTACTTACGTGCGAAGTTCTACGTTGCAACTGACTGACTGACTGAACCTTATCTCTACGTTTTGATTTTGTTATGGTAAAAAAATATGACGTTTTTTCTAACTTTACTGGAACAATGTCCCAATTTAAGTGGAAAAACTTTAAAACTCCAGTCAAACAAGACACACAAGCATATGCTACAGTTAGATTACGATCACATATGGATAGATAACAACAATTGTTCGCGTTAAAAATGTAAGAGACATTGTGGCACAATCAAATTTTTTGGTGTACTCAATTCAATGGTTTTTTTTATAAAGTAACAGTTGTATTCTGTTTCAAACGAAATAATCAACGTAACATTAGCAGCTTTCACAAAATAATCTCCACTTTATAAAATGTTTTATAGATTTTGATGGCTACATGTGATAAAGCAGTAATTCAGAATAATGCAACTGAGGCTAATCAAACTTTTTCAACTTATTGAAGAAATATACGCTACTTGGGTTTCCAAATTGTTGCTTTAAACCACTTGCCAGTAAATCTATATATCGATGATAATGAATTGTAGTTTGTCTAGGTAACTGGGCTTCTATGCAGTATGAAGCCACGCCTTCGTGCTCTGTTTAAAGCAAATCAGTCAGTTACAACGTAGAACTCCGACCGTAGCTGCTAACTTGACGTAGTGGTCGAGCTTGTCTATCGTGATGACCCAACCGAGCTATATTGGTTGGCTGAAATATGTGTTCCTGAGACTAAAAGCAGCAATTTAAGGTCTGAGGGCGAAGTTGTACTGCTGAATGTCGAGCGGTGTTACAGCAGTAAGGTGTTTACCTCGGACAATCAGCATCTGCAGCGACGCTACCTTCTCACAAGGAACGAAGGGTTAGAAAAGGTCGACCCTAAAAATGTCACACCTTGGCTTACCTCATGGATTTCCGTCTCCAGTGGTAAGGCCTTTTAAACAAGAGCGGAGCTAACACTTTAAATACTTCTCATAAAAAGTTAGCGCGTGACCGCCTTCAAGCAGTTGTCTCTTGGGCTTTGCAGTCGCGCTCCCAGGTCTCTAAGACCAATACTAATCGACCCTCCTTTTCAGGTTCCTCAAGAAGTACCCTTCAGCGGTGTGGGCAGCTGGGAAGTTACAACCGCCCTCATACCCGTAACAGCACACTTTTAGAGCAAATAGAAGTAACACTATGCCTCTTGATAAGCATGATAAATTATACGCAAAGACTGACCTTATATTTATGACTTATTATAAATCAGGTATCTTACTTTAGGAATTTTTAACGCTTTTTGCATTCAAAATAAAGAAAGCAAGAGATTAATAACTGCTTGTTCACTTTCCCCATTCTTGTTTAATTTTGTCATAGACATGCTGCTAGATATAAGCTTATCTTCGTCCGACTTTCCAGGAGTCGACTTTCTACCAAGAAAATCGCCTACTGACCTAGAATATGCCGATGACATAGTTCTATTCGGTGAAGACGCTGACAAAATGCACTCTTCTCAATACCTTAAGCAACAATGCGAGCATGTTCGGGATGAGGTTTTCCCTTTCCAAATGCAAAATGTTGCTTCAGGATCGGGCTGCATCAGCACCTGAACTAGTGATAGGGAATGAAGTAGTCGAGCGTGTTGATCGCTTCACTTATATGGGCAGTCTCATCAGTGCTGATGGCCTGGTGACTGACGAAATCTCAACACGGATACAGAAAGCTCGATTTGCTTTTGCCAATTTACGCCGTTTATGGCGTAGACGAGATATCCGTTCGTTAAACAAAGGACGAGTTTACTGCGCAGCAGTTCGCTCCATCCTACTACACGGATGCGAAACATGGCCGTTAAGAGTAGCGGACTTTCGTAAGTTACTAGTATTCGATCATCGATGTCTCCAAAGCATTGCTCGTGTATCGTGGGACAACCGAGTAAGCAATGCTGTTACTAGGAATCGGTTGCTAGGTAAGAATCGCAGATCAATAGATGAAGTAATGAAAATTCATCAGTTGAGGTGGTTGGGACATGTGTTGCGTATGCCCAACTACCGACTGCCTCGTCGAGCTTTGTTTTGTAGTGTAGGAATAGGTTGGAAGAAAGTTGGGGGCGGCCAAACCAAAACATGGCAGAAATGCATGAAGTCATTGATGAGTGGACTGAGTCATGTTTGGTAGATGTAGACTACGCGAGACGATAGTCACTGATGGTTTAAGACCTTGAATGATAAGGCTCAGAATCGTTTGCAATGGTGCAGGTGCATCCACTTTTTTTTTGCTTTTTAATTCTAACCTTCTGAATTCTTCATAATCTCTATCTTTCGCCTTCTAAATTTATCTCACTGAATTATACTTTTCGAATCATATCATCGCTCCCTAATCTTCTCCATTACTTCTAATACTTGTACTATCGCTATCACTCTTGGTTTTGAACTGACAGTTACGTCTCTGTGTTGATGTTGTATGGCAACCTTAACTGATATACTTATGTACGAAGTTCTGCGTTGTATCTGTCTATCTGTCTGCTTGTAGTACATGTGTCTACGAATAATGTTTAAAAATATATGTAGTGACTCGTAGTAAGTTGTACGCAAATTTTATCCATAAGTAAGTAAGTAAGTAGACTATCATTTTATGTATGGTATTCATAATTCATTTGTTTTTGTATCTATTTTTTCTTTCAGATATTATATTCGCTTGTTTACCATCATTCCGTACTTGTTTTTGTATGGCTGTATTTGGATTACTTCTATTTGGTTTGCATAAAATTTTACTTGGTGATCCATTTTATCATAATCCAGTGGAAGATCTATACAATATCATACGATTTCCTTTTGTTGAAAAACAATAACAATCCGGTTCAGTAATACTTTAGTGTATTTTTTAAAATAGGCTTTTTTTATGTGTATTAACCGTCTTGTACTATATATACATATATATAATGTTCACTTTTGTATGTGTTCACTCAGTGAAAATAAAAATTTGAATATATATATATATATATATATATATATATATATATATATATATATATATAATGTTGGTTACAAGATTCAATCTTTTAAATACTCAAATACTGTTTATTTTGCTCTCCCCTGATATAATACTTACTTACTTACGCCTGTCACCCCAAATGGAGCATAGGCCGCCCACCACTTTTCTCCAACCAACTCTGTCCTGGGCTTCTTTCTCCAGTTCTGTCCAATGTTTGTTCATTCCTCTCATATCTTTCTCTATTTCTCTGCGTAATGTATTCCTTGGCCTTCCTCTTTTTCTGTGACCTTGAAGGTTTCATGTGAGGGCTTGTCTTGTGACGCAGTTGGGTACTTTTCGCAGTGTGTGTCCTGTCCACTTTTACCGCTTCCTGATTTCCTCGTCTACTGGAATTTGGTTTGTTCTCTCCCACAGTTAGTCGTTGTTGATATTGTCTGGCCAACGAATCCGAATCCTGATATAATAACTGACCTATACAAATATCTCACTTGTCCCTAAAGGTAGCTTTAAGCCAGGAGAAAAAGTCCTTTGTATCCGTAGTAAATTCTCATGAACTGTGTTAACCCCAAAAAGTGACATGACATCGACAACAAGTTCACTCCTTATTGTGATAGATACAGTGTTATCAAATGTTTGATAAATATGAGGAGCGGATGCAAACTTGAGTGGAGTTAAAGAGTATGGGAAGCATGTTACTCGTACTGAGGTGTTCAAATATGACGCTTTTAGCGATTTGGTATGCTTGATTTGGATCCGTTTAGATGAAAATTCCACAAACTTCATGGATTGATAAATTCAGAACTAAATTGTAGATAAATGAATATGTTTACAACTGAAGCGTCGGTAAGTGCATTTATCCCCTAGAATCAGTCAAATCTGGTCGACTGGTTTTATTGTTTATATGTCATTCAGTCGGTTACAATCTAGAACTTCGTATGTACATGCGTAAACCAGTTCAAGTTTCCATACCACATTAGCACAAAGATGTAATTGTCAATTTAAATTCCATAGTAGTAGAGGCAGTAGAAGTATTACCGGTAATCGGAGAGATAAGGGTTTGACGATATTATTCAAGAAGTAGAATCTAGTGAAATAAACTTAAAAAGATAAAGTTGATGAGGAATTCAGACGGTTAGGATTTGAGAGAACACAAAGAGTGAATGAACGTGCGCCATTGTAGACGGTTTTAAGCCATGTCACACAGGCTCTCTAACCATCGATTGTTATCATCTCGCGGACCCCGACCAGATAGCCTACATCTACCAACATGACTCAGTTCACTTGTCGGTGATTTCATGGGTTTCTGCCATATTTCGGTCTGACCACTCCTAGCTTTCTTCCAACCTACTCCTACATCACAAAACATAGATCATCGAGGCAGTCGTTGGTTAGGCATATGTAACACATGTCCCAACGATATTAGTTAGGCTGATTCCTCTGTGATTATCGCAAGAGGACTTTAGTCCTTTCTTATAAATCGGGCCAATCAGTGAATGAGACCAGTCAGATGGTATTACGCCCAGTCAAAGCTGGACCACCATTATTAAGGATTTCAGGGGTCAATCTATCTGATCCTGTTTCTTTACCTCGCTACTGGTTCCCTATAGCTTTTTCCACTTCATAAAGACTCGCGGACTTATATAAATTTGCTTATCAGGATAACTGGGGATTGTGGGCTGAAGGCTAATTGAACTGATCCCTTGAGTGTTCTGCCCATCGATCAAAACTCCTGGATTGGGAATTAACAATAGTCCCACCTTTTCTGAGAAAGCTTCGCTAAGAGATGGATTTCTAATACCGGTTTCCTTGATAAGTCTGAATAGTTGTCTACTGTTGAATATTGACGCTGGCTCCTCCATCTCCCTCACATTATCTACCCACCATTGTTCGTGATCTTTCTGTAGGCTTTATGTCAGCCTGCGACTAAGCTGACTTTGCTCTTCATTATGTTCAGAGCCAGGAGAGATGAGTTTGCGAGCGTCTATCAGTTCGGTGGATGCTACTGAGATCTACAACTTCTTCCTATAGTTTACCTTGCCAGCTGCTGTTTCCACAGCATTTTTGATATCATTCCAACCTGCTTCCGGATGGGAATCGCTTACATGGTCACCAAACTGTCTTTCTAGTTGCTCCTGAAATATTTTCTTAGCTTGATTATCATTAAGTAAAGACCTAAGAGGCTTCCTTACGGTGTCTTTCCTACGCCCTGTCAGCCTCAAACATATACGCGCTCGCACTAGGGCATGATCTGAATCTAAACATGTGCCCCAAAACGAGCGACTGACCTCTATCGAACCCCTCCATCGGTGGCTGATGGCGATATGATCTAGTTGCGTCCAACGTTGAGACGACTTTGGACGTCGCCAGGTCAACAGATGTTTTTCCTTATGCCTAAAGTTAGTGTTTGCTAAGAATAGGCGGTTTTCTGAGCATACTTACAACAGTCGGTCATCATTGTCTGTTCTTTGAGCCGCGACACCATAACATCCACCTAGGCGTCCCTCCTTTTCACTTAGTCTACCTACTTGAGCATTAAAGTCACCAGCCATTATTACTATATCAGAGCGCCTAGCTTTTTGGAGGAGGTCCGAAAGCTTTCTGTAAAACTCACATCTCACCACGTCTGAACTGCATTCAGTGGGGGCATAGGCAGATACGACGAAGAGGCAACTACGAGTGTCCCTATCTTTCCGAGTCCTTATTGTCCCGTTCAGTCGGAGAGCGCACAAGCGTCTATTTACTGAGATCCGCCTATTAACGGATTCACTGGAAATAGTTAGTGGTTTGTTTTTAAACTAGATTATCCGTAATAAGTCGAAACTAGTATCAGTTCAACGCTTTGTTAAATAATTAAGTCCCATTTCATGTTCATGCGTGATCTTCGCTTAACTTGTTATGTATCCATTCTCAATATAGAATAGAAAATTACTGAAATAAAAATAATTTATCACACTATTATTGATAAGAATTTCTACAATTTTAAATGTTTTACAAGTAATGATTTTATTGTTTTCCAGATAAAAATTTATCCAAAAAATCTTTTGGTTTTTCTGGGAGATTAGCTTCTCTAAAAAAATCCATTACATGTGTATCAGACTTCCAAATATGCGCTACTTCAATAAGTTCATTTTGCCACTGAGAAAAAAAAACAGTTATATATATATATAGAGTATATAAACTTACTCGATGAATTAACAAGTCAATAACGCGTAAATCTTTAATATCTTTATTTTTACGAAATTCTTCTCTTAATTTTGCATGTAGAATTGGTACTGTAACATTTGTATTAGTACGTGCATATTCTTTTGGTATAAATGGTAATTGTCTATACCATGCACGATATAAACTCAACACACGCCTACGAGCTTCTGCATGATTTCTAGATAAAATTGGTTTTGCAACTTTAACACTCCCAGACATATTTACTATGAAAATTGAACAAAAGGTAAAGGATCAGTAAAGAATATATAGATGGTATATATATATATATATATATATATATATATATATATATATATATACTAATTCTATTTGGGACATGTGTTGCGTATGCCCAAACACCGACTGCCTCGACGAGCTTTGTTTTGTACTGTAGGAATGGGTTGGGAGAAAGTTAGGGGCGGCCAGACGAAAACATGGCAGAAATCGATGAAGTCATTGACGAGTGGACTTAGCCATGTCGGTAGTTGTCGACTACCTGGTTGGGGTCCGCGAGATGATAATAATCGATGGTTAGAGACCTTGAATGACATGGCTCAAAATCGTTAGCAATGGCGCCGTTGCATTTATTCTTTGTGTTCTCTCAAATCCTAATCTTCTGGATTCTTCAACCCCTCTAGTTTTGACTTTCTAAACTTTTCTCATTGAATCATACTTCTTGAATAGTATCTTCTAACCCTAACCTCTCCAATTACTTCTAATACCTTTACTACCTCTACTACTATTGGATTTGAATTGACAATTACATCTCTGTGCTGATGTGGTATGGCGACATGAACTGATGTACTTACGTACGAAGTTCTACGTTGCATCTGACTGACTGATTAATTCTATACTTGAATAAGATCATAAAACAGACTAGTTATTAAGAAGTATGATTATAATGTGTTTAGTCGACGTAAATCGCCTAGGATCTCACACTGCACAATGCAGCTGTGTTTGTCACTCTAATGAAAGCTGACAAATGAGTAAAAGTGATGGAAGAAAAGACTAAATATCGTAAAAGAAATACCAGTTCCCAGTATAATAGTTCCGAAATCAAGGAATGATTACTGACAAGTCAGTCATCTTTCAGAGTAGGTGAAAGTGAAAGCTCTGAGCATGATATTGGGTCGACAAAAGGTATACTACATACGCTAATGCCTCAAAAATTACCTTGCTGAAAGTCGATTGACTAGGAACCCTAACAGACTTACAGAGAAATCGAACTAGGCTCCTAAAAGTGGACATAAACCGAAGGGATCAAAAGAATTTCGTCCGTCAAGATTTATCACTCATGAACCTCACAGAAAATGAGAGGCCCGGAAAGAACTAAAACTAAGACTAGATGCTTGCGAAAAAAACCTCAGATTTGTAAATTTTTGGTTGGCGAAGATTCGGCATAAAATGATGATAGAGAAAATTCCAAAATTTCGTGAAGTTCACATTAGCTACAGACGACAAAATCCAGAAGCATAAATGAGGAGTACCCTTATTCATTAGAAATGCTATCCACTTTATTGTTATCGATAATATATTCCATGAAAGTGGGACGAGCGAATTAGATAGTTACCGCTTAAGCGCAAAGGACAAGAGCTACTGGTTGGTTTGGTTTATCAAAGCCTAAACTGTGAGGTGAAAAAAGTCTTGTTAGACAGACTCATCATTCGATCTTTAAATAATCGATATTTAGTTTTGATGAACTTTAATGCACAGCGCTCATGAGTCCCATACTAGGACAAAACGGCCTTCTAGTGCTTCCAGAATCTAATGGTGGTCTAACAATGACTGATTCATGATTTTAAAGTGTAAAAACACTTCTCCATAAATCTAATTGAAAAAATCGGACTTCAATACGCATTTCGTGGACTAGGAAAACCTAGGGATTGGATTGTTGGAAAATTCTCTCAAAAAACTGACGCAGTTATTTTTAGTGCCCTAATGCAATATGTAAAAGAAGCAACCACGTACTATTCGGACTCCGAATTATCCTTAATATATCCCAATAACTGATCATGAGAGTAACATTTCAAATTTCCATTATATGCCACCCATAGGAAAGAGTGACCATATACTGCTAGTCTTTAATTTTCATATTGTCATCAGGAACGGTGTGTCAGCTCAGGCACGACCAAATATACACGATATCGTACACAGCAGACTCGGTAGACTGGACGATAGAACCAAGATCCCTGACTGAAACGGCTTGGGACGTATTTAGAGATTTGTACACAAAAGTTACTGCACTACATATTCCTTGGACTACACCAATGAACCCAAGGAATTCCCTACTGTGGCTCAGTAAAGGGGTTCCCACCCTTGTGCGTAAAGGGAAAAAAATGTGGGAGAAATTTAGGCCATTTGAAACTGACGAGACAAAATCCCAATATCAGGAAGTCCGACCTTCCGCAAGTCTAGAAGATTACATGAAGTAGAGCTTGTAAAAGAGTCTACAGAATGCCCAAAACGCCTACGCTTATACATCAACCAACGGACTAAGAGAAGAGACAATATACCAGCTTTATGGGAAGACAGTAATACTGCATCATCAGTGGAAGATGAGTACGGCAAAACTCAGGTTAGATCAAACTACTTTAGCGATGCATATACCACAGAGATGACTCTCATTTCGGTTCATATAAAGCCCTACATAAAAACTCCAGACACCGTGGCCATTAAAGAACTCGATTCGCTGAATAAGGCTGATTCAGGCAAATCTATTAGACTCGATAAAATGCATCCTAGGTTACTCAAAAAAGTAGCGAATTCCGCTTCAAATCTTTTAAGCATATGCTTTAATCTATCTGTAAACCATGACCGATTACTAAAAGACTGAAAGAACGCTTTAGTCAATCCTGTTTTCAAAACAGATACGAGACATAAACATAAAACCTATTGACCTGTAAGTCAAACTAGCATGGTTTTCAAAATTATAGAAAAAGATTATTCGTAAGGAGTTGTTGAAGTGCCTAGACGAAAATCGGATTCTTTTCGAGAAGCAGGACAGTTTTAGAATAGGCTTTTCATTTCTCTTAAAGATCAAAAGCTACCTATAGACCTAGTATTTACTGACATAAGATAAGCTTTCAACAACGTACCTCACAATGAGTTTTTATCTACGTTATGTGATATTCGGACTGAGGGGAATCTACTTATTAGAATTAAGGATTTCTTAGTAGACTGACTTCCAAGTTGTTTAGTTGGGAAAAGCCGTGCTTAGTGGTTTCTCAAGACACAGTTTCAGGACCACGCTAATTAGGCATGTGAACGGCCTTCCAAATCTCCTGTCGTCATCGGTTTTGTTATATGCTAGTGATAACAAGATGTGGAGGGCGACAAAAAATCGTGATAGTCTACAGTTCCAAAATGACCTACAGAAATACTCTGAATGGTCTAAAGTTTGGCAGTTACCGACAAACGCCTCCAAGTACATCATGATGTATACTTGTCGCCAAAGGACAGACACATACACTGTGAATAACACTGACTTGCAGCACAAAAGCAGATAAACCAAGTAAGATCGTGGAATTATGGTAATTAAATAATAAAACGTCAGCGAATATAGTTATCTACTTCTAAAAACGTTTCTGCGGAGCCACTTACATACAATGGCCTTCGCCAAATAGGAAACCAGCAAGTTCCAAACTCCCGGTTTACCTTATGTCCTTGAGGTAGCGAATCATAAAAGAGGATGATGATTCATGTCCACCTTCCAGTTTTTCTCACTGAGGACAGTGGGTTTGTTTCTCTATAATGGATAGTGAAGTGGGTATTCTAAAAAAGAGGTCATTTCTCCAAATATATCCTCATCAGTTTTCTGGGCCCTACTTATCACAGTGAATGGTTGTGAAACTGGTTGAAGAAGGTACTTAGTAGGTCTGAAAACATGTGGTAAACCTTGAGGTATGTCTACCTGCTGAGTTCCAGTTTTGCCTGGAATTGTTCATCGACAGGACTGATATCAGGCAGATCACTCCTGTTGTTGATGGCTTGATTGTAAAAGCAGAACGGCAGCCTTAGTTTGTTTGGCCGTAGTTTGGAAACAACTTTTGGTGGTCCAGAATAAAAATAGATCCATTGGTCCCAGTTGTTCATCCTGGAAAAGGATGATTAGTTGACTAATAGCCCTCCAGAATCACTTTCGCATTTTACCATTCAGGATTTTTCGGTGGAGTTTTTGCACGAAGCTAGAAGACAACTGTAATATGCATACAAATATGTCGAACACACAGGGCCTGTTCCACTCTTAGGACAAACAATTTATTCTTTTCTTCTCGAACTATTCACATGCCCTTCAACTTTGTCATTTGCATAGCATGTCTAGCCGTTCGTCGAAGTTGAAGTCAGATTTTCAGCCACAAAACAACCACTGATTTAGGAGCACGAAAGAATTTTGGAGCGTCTAAAATTCTGTGTCCTGTCACTGATAGGATTTTCCAGTTTCCTTTGCTTGCGGCCACTGTCGTTTGGTGGTAAATAGTATTTCGTTTCTCTCAGTGCATCACTTTTTGTAGAGTAGTGACCACCTCCAACGTGTTATCGCCTTTGCCTATAGCTGTCCAGAAGTTAACTCTGAAAGCCTATCGTCGGTAAATTCACTTCCGACTGCTTCTTAAATACAATAGCACCTAATCATGTTTTGCCGCTCAACGGAGTCATATCTTAACTTGTAAGAATGACAATTTACGACGAAAAGCTTGAACAAAGAAATGAGATGAAAATAATGATAATAATATATTTATTCTCAAGTAACTACGATACAAGAGTCACACCAGTTTACAGGCTAGATCAAATTGTCACAAATGCTTTAACAATTACTGTAAAAGTTATAGCAGTTAAATTAAGTATAAGAGTCAGGTTCTGATAACATATTTACACCATGCCACTGACAGAAACAGTATAATACAGCCACATTTTCAATAGTAGAGTACAAATGAGGAAGGTGCACAATAGGTTCTTTTGGCGATTTGCCGAGATCAATAGTGAATTTGTTGGGAAAGGTCAATAGGAACGCGCTTGATACGAGCTGTGATCTAGACAGTCATGTACATAGGGTACATGTTGCCTAGAGTCGCCAAGGATTTCCCACCGTGAATGGGGTTCTGAAAAGGAGAAAAGAGAGAGAGAAAAGAATAAGCTTATGAAATTTCGTGCATTTAGCAGCAGTTCAGACCCCTTGGGGGCATCAAATTTTGTCCCAAAAGCATCGCGTAAGCCAGTTATTGGTTACCAGGAAAGTTTCTTTGTGGTTTCTTATATTTTTTAAGGTAACCATGTACATATATAAAAGCATATGAAAGATACCTCAACCCGTTTCAGGTTGTTAAAATAAATATAGTGGCATGTCTAAAAATTTTGTTTCAGGCGCTATGAAAACGGCCAATGCAAACAAACATTTATATAATACGAGGAACGAGATAGAGAAAAGATGAACTTTTAAAAAGTTGTACACGAAGTTTTCGTTTAGATCCATTGTAAACCTTGCAGTTCTTGAAGAGCTCGTCATTTAGGGAGGCCTATAAGAGTACTGAATCGTAGCCTTTAGGGGCGTCGTTCGTTTGTTTGTTGAAAAGATCGGTTTTGTTCACAGTGGTTCAATTTTCGCAAGTCTATGCTGATGTATCTTCAGTTTCTTTCTTTCGAAGGGTATAGTATTTAGGTTCATCATAGATTTTGTAAGGTCCTTCGTGTGCAGCTTCTATCGGTCAACAGAATGGCTTGCGGCGCACGAAAATCTGTGTGGTAAGTTGTCAACCAAGTGGGACTGAAACATCGATTGCTCACAGCCCAGTAGAAGCATATATAATTGAATCGAGTGTGTCTGTAAGCCTACCCATGTAGCAGTCCAGATGCATTTAAGCAGTTGAGAGATCCATGAACCTCCAGAGATGTCGATCTCTCGTTTGCTGGAGGAGTTCAGCTGCAATATATTCGAAGTCAGTTTCCACTGCACTGCGAAACCCGAGTAACAGGAGTTGAGGAGTGTCAATCTATTGTGGCTCGTTTGCCTCATAGTATTGTAGTGAGACATTGGAAATGTTCGGATTCGAACTGTCGTGTACCGTAGGTAACAATTCAAAAGCAGCCATAGTTTTTTGCCCATCGATTGGTAAAAGTTTAGGTTACGGTTTTGACAGTGATGTCTCCAACAGGCATTGCTTCTGGCTATCATGGAAGAAAAGTCACATATTTTGTAGTCCTACCAAGTCAACATGAGCATGGCTGAAGCAAGAGTTGGTAGTCGAGAAAGTTCCATTGAGATATTGATTGTCTGATGACTTTACATTTTTGGCAGCTAACCCGGGAGCGTGCTTACTCCCTTATGTCTTTGTCTGTACCAGGTCAACAAAGCCGTTTTACTAAAATGTTAGTGGTCGCTCGGACACCTGGATGATAAATTTTGTGCGTGTTGGACGCACGGCGTTGGCGGTCTTTCAGCGTAAATGAACGACGTCTCCATGGAGGTGAGTCACAAAGTAAAGTCTTCCTACCCGTTTTGCATCCGTTTTACTCGTAGTTTCGAGGTTATTGATGATAATTTGTGTTGAAGGTCGGTGTCTTCCGTTTGAAAGTAAGGAAGATTAAGAATTCCGATAGACATTGAGTAACTGTTCCCTCAACTTGAAAATCTCTATTCCAACGAATAACATACAAGGTTATTGTATGATGCGATCGTGGCGTATTGCACCAAAACAGCCTTTCAGTTTGTCTAATCACTATTTATCTCACTTCTAAATTACTAATGAGGGATCCATTTTAGATGCAGTAGAAGCAATCAGCTAAAACGTCCTCCATAATTCAAATAATTGATGAAAATCCTTACCTGAAACTATCATCACAACGCTTTCTGGTAATAGTCAGTATAGTACTGTCAGTACGTACTGAGAGGAATTAGTTCAGGCTCCAACCACTGATCATCTCAAATACTATATGGTTTATTTTCGCTCCCGATTTTGTGTGGGGAATTTAACCAGAAGTATACCCCTCTTCGTAATCAAATATGGCCTTCTTTTACCAAAACATAGATTCAGTGAAACGATCTTCTAATCTTTCTTAGCAAAGTTTGAAGTTTGTGTGTTGAGTGATATCATGTATAAGCCACATTTTCAATGACAATTCGTGACATTTAAGATTCCACGTTTGCGGGATTGTAACGTCCATTTTCGCACATAAAATATACTTGGATATTTAATTGGTGGTGGGATGAATATGACACTTAAATCACAGTTCGACTGATTTCCTTTGCTGAAAACACCTATTCCACTTTCCTTCGTAGGCTTTAAATCAGCCAAAATTATGATGAAACAATTGATTTGTAAAAGCTCCTACTGTTGGACAATCATATGCCCAACACCTTGTTGGGCTTGAATCGGAGCATTGTATTCAAGGTCCTCAGAAGTGTAGAGTATGTACTAATGTGTTGGGCCCAAACAACTCGCTCTTGCTCTCAGACAAACTGATTAACCCTTTGTACCTGAATTTCCGTTAACTTCTCTTTAAACTTTATCAGTTTTTCACCCATATTCTCAGTTATTTTTATTCTAGTCTGTGTGCATTGCTTACATAACTTTTCAAATGTCTAGTCTATTTTGTCCTGACTATAACTGTTCAATCATTCCTCACTGTATTGAGTAAGCTCACTCATCTTATCCACTTCAATTCGTCTTACTTTTCCTGTACGCTCTCAGTCCTCTGTCTGCTTGCGTGAACAAATGCATGCAATAAATTCATCCGACTGTTTCACATTACCACCGTCACACAAACGGGGTTCACCTAAATATGATATACGTAAATTGAAGATTTATTTCATAGCACAATCAATAGTTCGCGAATATCGGAGTCAGTAAGCCGGCTAATAAATCAGTGAGCTCTACTTCCGATTAAACGCAGCTACTAAAGTAGCTTTAAGTGGTTCGCGGATGCGTTTTGGAACAAACATCCCAAAAAACGTCTTGAACAGTAGATATAACCTGTAAAACATGTTCAAATTCTATGGTTTACGGGTGTCATCAGTATTCTTGAAGTTCTTTCTCAGACACTTTGATCAAAACATATGTAAAGGTATACTAGATAGCATAAATGTAAATAATACTCGTTCATAAATATCTTTCAATGATTAGATTACTGTCAAGCTTTAGTCATTGAATGATTCTATCTACTTTCAACCAGTTCCCACGATACTACTGTGGTGCGAGCTACTTATAAGTAGTATATGACGTGAGTATCAACGTAACGTCTGGCAGCCGAAGATGGGGGAAGATCAAGAAAGGAAGAGTTAGAACACAGTGGAATTTGTATGAAACACATGAATAGTGACAATGGATTGATGCTGTTTGCAACAGGAACAGTCCAGTTCCAGATGATGGACTGATATTTTGCAAACGCACGATTTACGATATGGTTTTCCGATTTTACTGAGTAACTCTGTAATTTTCGTTAAATACAATTCGGTTGCCCTCACCTGTGTTCTCCTTCACTACACTAGTAGTATTATCTTCAGTAAGACAAGAAATAAAAGAATCATCTTCATACACATAAACATATAAGTTCAAATACATTTAAATAAGAAATTTATTCAAAATGAAACAAATAATCAGCAGTGATAACAACAAATTTTTTTTTTAAAAAACAAACAAACAAACCAACAAGAAAATAAAACAAATAAAAAACAAATGAACATTGAACAGAAAGAAAATAGAAGAATAGAAGAAGAGAAATAATATGCGAACAATTAACAATCACATTGTTGTCATTATTAATATTATTGTTACTGTAGTTCCCCTTTTTGTAATGTTTTACTGTCTCTTCTTCAATCTCTACTATTGAAAGTGTTATGTAATAATGAGAAGGTTTAAAAACGAAAAATAAAAGATGAAACAAAAAAAAAAGAATGATTGTTTGATTCATTCATTCCTTTTGCTTCTTTTTAATGAAGATAGATGAATGATGAGCTATGTTGTTGTTGTTGTTTTAATGGCATAGTTTGATTATAATTTTCATTAGTAGTAGTATTATTGTTAGTAGTATTATTATTATCATTAACTAATGATAAAGTATCAGAGTCATTATTATTGTTATGGACAATGTTTGTTAATCCATTGGATAATTCTATGAAAACAAAGAAACAAGAAGAGGAAAGTAATGTGTTAAAGGGGAGGCATAAAAATCTATAATAAAATTGTATGATTTTTTGTAATTGTTGAATAGTGTTACGCTCGTCACTAAGTATGCTTGAGGCTAGTCACCTTAGTCGATAAACGCGAACGAGACTTTTACCAGCGTCCAGTTAGGCTACCTTGAATTCCCAAATAGAGTAAGAAGGCTTTGTAAGCGTAGGGAAGTATATTCTACAAACACCCAGCAATCATAGTACAATCAAGCATACAACTCTCGTTTATTTATATAACATAGAAACGTCCTTGAGACAGTTAAGAAAATAGCACACTAAAATACACAGCAGCCAATCACAGCCATGGATTTTCCTGATGGGAATCGAAATCTCAAGGTAAAATGATCAGTCCATGCTCGCAAACGTAAAAACCAAAATAAGGCAATAGTAGAAAACGATAGTTGTATTTACTGGTATAATTTTTCAAATAAAGTTAATGTTTTTACATTAATCAATCAATGTTAGACCATCATTAGAAAACTGGCAGCACTGAAAGAAAGCCGCTTCTTCTGTGTATGGGATTTATCAGTGGCAATGCGTATTCACGACTCCTGCACCTAGCAGCATTCAAACCCCGAACCTTCGGCATTGAGCGCGAATGCCTAACCTCTGGATCACTGGGTAGGCATTTAAAAGTGTAAATGTCTAAGTGTGATTGACATAGAGATTTTGCGCGACCTCACGCATTTGTCTTTGGTAGTTACTGCCCTACACCCGACAGGAGTGAACTCCACTCCTCACTAGAACTCCGAGAATTATTTCATCACGAAGCTAGTCACTAGTGAGCACATTTTACGAATTTTTTTTAAATTACAGTTACGGAGATTATTGTTTTTACACATTTGAAATCATCAATTTGTTGATGAAGATTGTTTGCAAAACTAGGTAGTGTCTGTGCAGAGTAAATAGGTGTTCATCAATCTGACATATCAGGCATGATGTGAAATTCTGTTTGTACAGGAGTTCTTTGTTGACTGATGATCGGGACTTTAAGTAAGGAACAAAATTTATAATATAATTAAGCTAACTGACAGGAATTATCTGATTAATACTTTGGTCACTCACCTAGTACTACTACTACTACTACTACTACTACTACTACTAATAATAATAATAATAATAATAATAATAATAATAATAATAGAAGTTTGGTTAGGGACTTCTTTATTCGGAATTGAATGCTATGCATAGAGAAAGGAGTGTGGATATCAATATCAGTTGAGTCTGTTAAAATTCACGATAACACGTAAATAAGCACGTTCAGTCATAGCGGAAGTAGAAGACATTGAGTAAGAGAGAATTATAATCAAGATTGTGATTAGCGGATCTAGCAAGTGATTTCAATTAGAGTTGTAGCCCTAACAAAAACCACTGGGCTACTATTGAGAGCATGAAACTTACAATATAATTTATTTTCGTTCATTCTTCTCATGTCTCTCACTATTTCTCGGTGTAATATATTTCTTGGCCTTCCTCTTTTCCTTTGACCCTGAGAGTTGCAAATGAGGGGTTGTCTAGTAACGCGGTTGAGTGATCTCCTTTTGTGTCTCCTATCCACTCCCAGCGCTTCCCACCGATATTTTCCTCCGCCGGAATCTGGTTTGTTCTCTCTCACAGGAGATTGTTACTGATGGCGTCTGGCCAACGGATCCGAAGTATTTTGCATAGAAATCGTGTATTGACTGAATATAATTTCTATATATAAATTCAACGCAGTTTTTATTCTATTAGATAGCTCAGTTTGATTTCTAGTCTCGAGATTCCAATTGGTTAACAGAAGCCGACGGGGAGCCTTGAGTTAGTTAACACTCTTTGGTAAGGTGTACACGTATTCTTCAGGGTAATGGTGTTTATTTTGTAAGTTTCATACTCGTGTTAAACAGTCTTATGCTATACAAGCCATGAGAGCAGATATTGGACTGTTTTCAACAAGTCTTTACAACATTACTTGATTGTCAGAATTTCTTCAACACTTATATGAATAGACAAATTTATTAGTAAACATCAATTAGCCAGTCAATCACTTATGATTTCTTGTAGTTTGACGGAGATCACTCAAGTGCATTCTCAAGGCAAATGAAATAAAAGGCAGGCTAAAGAACACGTTGAATCGGGGAATTGAAGGCAAGTATCACAAGAACGAATAAAACGTTGAAACAGCTGGAAAGAAGAATCCAGGACTGAGTTGGTTAAGAGAATATTCATCGGTGGTCTATGCTCTACGCGGGATAACAAGCGTAAATAATTAAATTCGGCTGTGTTAATCCAATTATTCGAA